GCTCAGGACCTCTATTGTGGATGCTGGGTGCCGAGGCCAGTTAGTTCATATCTTGGTGGCGACCCGAGGACCTGATGGGGGACGCCAGTGGTGAGGGAAGCCGGCAAGCTGAGGGAAGACACGCTTTGGTCTTTTTTGTCCCATACTGAGTGGATAAAGGCGCTACGGTATTGGTAGCTGGACGGCACGGTGGCGTGGTGGTTAGCACTCTCGCCTGCCAGCAAGAAGGTTCTGGGTTCGAGTCCCAGGGGACCCAGGAACTTTCTGGGTTGAGTTTGCATGTTCTCCCTGTGTCTGTGTGAGTTCTCTCTGGGTTCTCCGGCTTCCTCTTACAGTCCAAAAACCTGCATGTTAAGTTCGTTGGACATTCCAAATTGCCCTTAGGAGTGAATGTGAGAGAGCATGGTTGTTTGCGATGGACTGGCGGACTGTCCAGGGTGTACCCTGCCTCTCGCCCATTGACCACTGGGATAGGCTCCGGTTCACCCCATTAGGGAATAAGCGGTAATGATAATGGATGGTATTGGTAGCTGCTCCAGGGCGCTGCTAGACCGAGTTCTACAGTCAGGACCTACTAAGTTTATTAAATGTTTCAGGCAACTTCCCTTACCAAAAGAAATATTACTCCATGTTCTTCCAGACCACGTGTCGAAAAGTCCTTGGGCAAGGCTATAAACCCCAAGTTGCCTACTGGTTGCATCTGTTGTACCCACTCGTGCAACCAGTGTGTGAATGGTGAATGACTAGAAAAAGCGCTATATACTGTAAGTACATGCACATTTACTACTACATTTTATTTGTCATTTAACGACAGTAGAAAAGCGAGGAGAAAAACAAAGTCAAACATTAAAATCCACTGATATTTTAACCTGAAAGGCTTCAAGCACAAAGCAAACAATTTCGACTAAAACGACTTGTCCTCGGAGTTGGATAGTTTTGGTGTATTCCTTTCTCATCAAATTCCACAACACAGAAGCCTTTATGAGTTGTGCTTTCCAAAATGAGCTAGACATACCTTTGCTTTGGCCACTAAAAAGTCTGAGGAGTGAACCTGACTGCTTTAGACTGAGGAGCCACATGGCTAGCAGTGACCGGCCACCAGCCTGATTCGGACCCTACTAGGAACAAGCGGTGTGGACCAGGAACGGTAGAGGAGATCAGACACTTCCACACTTCTGCTCACCTCCAATCAGTCAAACTGTGGCCGGAGATGGTGTAAGGGAGACAGACTGGGTGAAAATTAACCGACGTCTCGCAATGATTAACAGGCGTTATCTGGAAAAGTCCAGGAATCGCCGGCCGGACTAGGTGTTGTGCAGCGTGACACGCACACATGATCACTGGCACAAAAGACACACGCTGGTATTAAATCTCAGACTGTCTCTCTCTTCACTACAGGAAGGCAAAAAGGTCAACCTGTGGAATTTCTGAAGGCGTTTTCACATTTGTCACTGAAGGAAATTTGTTTGCGATAAAGTTTCGAGAGCTTCGGAATCGGTTGCCAATTCTTGCAAAGGATCCATCACAATCCTCAAATTTTTGATAAATTCATCAAAAAAGCAGTTAGTGTCCTCTTCAAAACCTCATCTTCTCTGTAAACTGTCGTTTAGTCCCACCAAAACATCCCTTTAGCATGAAGCACCTTACAACACCTCATCAACCTGAAGGCTGACCTACAAGAACAGGAGCCAGTAGCCATCGTGGTTGTAGGCATACAAGAAATAGTTTCAATTATATGAGGTGCGCAGACAAAATGGGAAATGTAGGCCCCGACAAAAAGTACACCTTTTGTTTCCCAAAGAAACGAAGCAGTCCCAATCACAAAGAGTCGCCAAAAGGAAACAGTTCCACGCGACTACCAAGCCGACGGCACGGGTCCGTCTGACATGGGAGCTGTTGTAAATCCGGAGGTGGATAAGATGAGGAGATACATGGCTCAGTGCATGAGCAGGATAGAGATGAGACGATCCGAAAAACAGCTACTAATCAAAAAGGCTTACGAATCTGCGCACAGCCCGCATTGGCAAAGATAACGCTCCCGGCTTCAGGCTGCCCGCGGGAACGTTCGGAATGCCGGTATAATGGGAGTCTTCACGGAGACTTCAATGGGACTTTTGAAGGCGACCTTCAAGTCCAAGTCAAAGTAATGGAGTACCTCTTTGATGAAGAGATGCTATCTTCCAGCTACCGTTGAGCAAAGGCCCGAGCTTATGAGAGCGCTACGGTAGGGTCCTTACAGAGTGGGCAGGGATGCCTGTTCCCAGTAAGGGGACCCCATTGAGGGAGAGGAGGAAGAGGAGGCTTTATGAAAGAAAATCTCTGGAATAGCGTGCAGGAACATCAGCACCTGGGAGATCGTTTTAAAGAAACATCAAGAATGAAGGATCGATGGTGGCTAACTAACCACAAGTTACAATGATTTGTGATAGATGTAGTAATCCTCAGTGGAAGAACCAAGTGGGTTGAATAATACAAAGATCTGGAAGGATGTGGGAATGGGTGCCGCAGTATTCGGAGCCCAATGTGAAAAAGTGAATGTACAGATCTTTTTAAAAGTAGCTGCTTTGGATTCTGTTCATTTTTCTTATTGTTTACAATTAAAATTTAGAAATAGTCTGTAAAAATACTAGGAAGACAGTATGGAAAAATTCATTTAAACATTCCGGTAGTATACTCATGTACGATCTTAAATGGTAAAAGCTGTAATCAACGAATGTGATGGAAATTTGTCTTTCTAAATAAAAATATAAATTACAAAAAAAAAAAAAGTAGCTGCTTTGGGAAGATGGCATCATGGTGGCAAAGAAGCTAGAAAAAAAGAGGTAGTAGTGGCAGACTTACAAAACAGCCAACATTCATAGGCTTTTTGCAACACAAACCCCTTAAAATGTATTCATATATGCAAGTTTCACTAAATGTGAAATTTAAAAATGAAAAATCTACTTTTTTTCTTCCTTTATTGGAGTCCTGGAAGTTATTGGCAAAGCTCTCAAATCCAATTGAGGAATCAGAGGCAGATAGTGGTAGGGGTAACTCCACAAAGCTCCCTCTGCATGTCCAGGCAGGTTAACTGGAATTCCGATCTTTCTTTTCTCTTTCTCTTCCAGTGGAGGAGGGGGTGGGGTATTCGGCAGCCTCTCTCTGCACCCCGTCACACACACACACACACACACACACACACACACAAAACCCTCCCCTTTACTCACCTACATTCTTTCAAGACCAAACGGCCACCTGGTAACCAGAGACCCCTCAACCCTCGGCTAAGTTCCTCTGCGAGGAGCAAGGCTACATTTTTATTGGGCAAATGTTTGCATCGGATACAGCATAGGTCAGAAAGAATAGAGAAAAAAGAGGAAAAGGGAGGTGGGGATGGCTGGACGCATACCATTAGAGAATACACACACAGGTACCCTCACACTGAGGGTCTCTCCACTCCTGAATGAGGGAGGCCCTCGAGCACAGAAGCCTGCTACAAAAGAGCTACATTCAAGGGCAATAAAGATTGTTTAAAACCGTGTTCTAAATCTCACACACACACAAAAAAGCTGGACGCACACTAGAAATGTACTCGACCACGATGAGGCCTGAATGCTGGTCAGCATATAACCAACGGGAGTGTCCACTCGCATTAGGAAAACAAGGGTTTTCAGGTGACTCCCTGAAACGGGTTCAATAATAAACTAAACGTGTGTGTAAATCTTAATGATCACATTCTTGAAACGCTGAGCAGTTGATTGCTATGACATCACAATCCTGGAAAAACTGATAAAAACACCATTGTTCTCATACTGATAAGCTGTTGTAACCAAGTTATAGAGTTTTTACAAGGATTGTCTCCTTTAAAGTTAAAAGAAAGTTTTAAAAAAAGAAAAATCCCAATTGATCCTGATCAACTTGGTTAAGTTAGTTGATTAAATTCATTTTTTGATGCATAATTCTTAGTATGTTTCCACTGAGAGAATCTTTTGTATCCGGATAAGACGCTGTGCAGTGTTAATTTCTGTTTGTGCTAAATTATGACTATTTTATCTTGTGTTTTCATTTGGCTTATCAACGTCCATTATGTTTCTTTTCCAAATCAGGCCACAAAGAGAGGGTACACAGGTTGCCTACAATGTCTGGCATTGTTGGGTAGAAAGTGTTTCAGGCCTTATTTTAAAGCAACTAAGCGCACCCGGAGCTAAACTCTTTTCTCCTTCTATGCTCCTTATGCATGGCACCAGCTTTCCAACATCATAAACTCACAAACGCCCCTTCAAAGGAGTTTAAGAAGAAGAAAAACCCATGAACTGAATTAAGCAGTTGCTGTTTTAGACGGTATCTAAATAGTATACTAACTGGAGGAGATCTTATTTTCTTCTGGGTAGTAATGAACATTTTTTAAATATTTTAATACTAACATTTGAAATTGTCTAAATTAAACTTTTCTGGGAAATTCAGTTGTATGATAACTTTAAAAAAAAATCACATGGCTTTATTATTATCGAATATTTTAGACCTTTATAAATATAGTTACTTATGTATATATTTATTTATCTTTAGTGTGGAATTTTGTATATATATTTGTATAGACATATGTATATGTATATGCTGTTGTTTTATTTCTTGAGTTAACAAAAATAATTTCACTCTGGGATTATTAAAGTATTTCTGATTCTGATTCTGATTCTGGCTGACTAAGGTTTCCACTGCAAAACGTTGGATTTAAAGATGGAATTTCAGCTACGAGCAGAATTTCAATCAGTATATTTTTTTAATACTCAAAAGTAGAAAAAATTAACAGTCCCATCTAAATGTACATGTTTTCTGGAAAATCTTTATAAGAAATCAGGTCCTTTTTTCCCCATAGAGAACAGAACAGATTGGTACTTTAACACCTAGATAGACTGAAAGTCACTCTTATCAAAGCTCATCATAGAAACAGACATAATCCAGAACCCACAACACAAACAGCAGATTATAGAGCAGAGGACTCAGATACAGAGGCGGTGACCCACCTGGCCCAGGTCGAGGGTGACGTTGACCTGGTTGAACTCGGTGCTGCGGGACAGCGGCGGGCTCTGCCACCAGCGCTCCGTCCCGTCGATGGCGTTGGTGATGGGGTGGGCGCGGTCGCTGTGGCCCAGGTCGCACACGTCACAGTACTGGCCCTGTGGAGGCATCAGCCCAGAGTCAGTTCCACATTTCTCCACATTTCTCACACTTATCTCAGATGGCCGCCCACCCTGAGCCATGGTTCTGCTCCAGGTTTCTGCCTGTTAAAAGGAAGTTTTTCCTTTCCTGTGTCGCCTAGTGCTTGCTCATGGTGGGAATCGTTGGGTTTCTGTAATTAACTTCAGAGTAGGGTCTGACCTGCTCTGTTTGGAAAGCGCTGTGAGACAACTGTTGTTGTGATGTGGCGCTATATAAATGAAATTGAACTGAATTGAATTAATTTTAATTTTGTAATGTCATTGTCTGAACGTGTGTTTGGACTGATTTTGTATTTTGTGATTTTGTGTTGTTTGGTCTTCCTGCCTCAGGACCACAGATGTAAACTAGCAACTATGCTAGAATCTGGCTCATTTACAATCTGTATGAGATTGTTCATTAATGTGCACTGTCCTGATTAAATTAAATAAATAAATAAAGTTATACTTGTTGACACTCAATGCTTTCTGGCGTTTTGTCATACTTTTATAATGAGATATTATGCTTAATCCCTAAAGGGGTCAAAAATTCTTAAAATACAGTCAGCAGTTCTCTACTGAGACAACCCAGGAACAATAACCTCAATATGGTACTCTAAACGTTCAGAACTTGCTTGATTAACATTCATTAAGTTGTTTTTTTCCACGCAATGCCTAAATGCATTCTTAGAGTTCAGACTAGCTTGTTAGGATCAGAGAATGATCACAGTCAGAGCTAAAACACACTCTTTTCTTCATGTCTTGGTATATGTGGACACCCGTTTTTACCATGAAAATGTACTAAATCCAGTTAGAAATCAAAATATAAGATAAAAACATGAGGAGAGCTAACAACCTTTTTCTTAGCATCATCTTTATAGACATAAGGATGTGTTTAAAATACGGATACCAGAGTTTCCATATTTTCCAAATGTAATTAAAGGAAAGATTGACATTTTTAGCACAGATTTTAGCTTGGACAGGATGTTATTTATTAGAACTATGCTGATTGGACCGTTTTCATCCGTGCAGTTGGTTAGTTTCTTCTAACCAAGGTTTCCAAACCCCAGTAAAGGCCTTTAAACAGAGGCTTTTCTTCCACCTGTTTACCTGAGTCCCATACACGGCTCCACCCTGCTTACTGAGACAATGGCATTCCAGCCGGTGTCTTTATCAGTTTTAGCTTGAAAAAAAAGCCTGAGCGGTATCACTGTCCTCCTCTTGTTTCCTGTAGCTAATAAGGAACCCCGACCAGAAACTGGACTGACGTCATCACACTGCCTAAACCGAAAGGACGCTCCCCATAAAATGATCGGATTTAGCCATTTTCAGCTCCGAAAACAAAGATTCCTCCTCTGGGATTTAATATGGATAATCAGCACAGCATTAAGAATCTGTGTTCCTGCAAGATTAACTAAAAAGAAAGAAAATATGACCCCCTGCATCTATACAACTACATAAATTAACTTTTACATGCACACAAACACACAAACCCTGATCCTCCACCTGCTGTTCACTCATAAAAACACTCATTTAAGTAACTTTAACACTTTATCTTTCCATCTCTCCCCGACTACAACACGTGTGCGACTTCTTTTTTAATTCAAATTCAAGCTTTGCACTCTTTCTTTTAACCTGAAAGCTGAGAATGAGATGTACATCAGGCCACATCATCTCTGGATGGCTTTTCTCATTCCGTATTGGAATTTAAACAAACGCTCACTCCTTTAGTTGCATTTATTGATTTTATTCTGGTCGAATAAAGCTTTTTTAATTGAATTTCTTTATGAATTGCATATAAAATGCTCCCCTGCAGGCACGACTGAAGCTCTGAATAAATAGTGGATTTAATAGTATTTAATAGGGAGAGCAGTGGCAGGTACCCCCACCTGAAGGCCGTTCCCCTTTATAGACCCTAAATCAGGTAAATTCTTGATTTGTTTGCTTGGCCGAGTTGATAAAATGCAACAGGAGAGCTGAAAAACAGGCATTAGCTTGACCGACCACTGGACACAGCCCTTTGGTCACTTCTCCGGGTTTCCCATCGGTCAGGCAGCTTTCCCTTTTTTCTCTAACTCTCTCACATAAACTTACACAACTCATCCGAATCAACAATGGGGTTTAAGAGGAAACCGGTGAGCAACAATAAGCATGTCTGATCACGTCTCATTTAAAAACACCTGCGAGACTAGAAACAACATGATTTAGAGATTTCATTATTATTGCAATGAATTTGGATTAATCAGTATTAACTGGCCAAAACTAAATTATAATCATCCCAGTTCAGATCATGAAGCTAAATTCTAAATGTCAGGTCCACTTCATGAAGTAAATGTTGTGCTTGGTAACCCATAGCAACGGCTCAGCCTGATTGGACAGAAATAAGAAATAATCACCTGGAGGCGGTGGAATGAGCTGAATAGTTAGTTTTTACAAGCAGATAAAACAGGAAAAAAACGCGCACTGAAGGGGTGTGCACGCGCGTGCACGCGTGAACGCGTAAACGCCAGCCTAACTTTGTTTTTTGAGGAATAAAATCGCTGGAATACTGAATACTGAATACAGATCGGACCAGAATCCTGTCCCTGGCGCGCGATGCGCCCCTCTTTTTTTGGTCATTTCGTAAACCCGGAGAGCCAATCACACAGCAGAATCCCCACACTTCATCCTTATCTCTGATCCTTTACGGTGCTCATCCAAAAACCGGCCTATTTGTATGCATGTCTCCTTTGAAAAAGGGTCAGTGAGGGTTTAAAGGGACAGAGCGTCTTTTTATATGGTAATGGTCCCAGAAAGGACTCCGAAATGGAGCAAACCAAAAGCGGGAAGCCTCTGGCCTTCCTAATCTCCCGGCCCAAAGAAAAAAAAAGAAAAAAAGAGCGCATAAAGCCAGTCTGGTTGGAGAACACGGGTCATTCCCCGCCAGGAATGCAGGGAACAGGTGGGAGAGCGGCTTAGCCCTCTCTGTGGTCATCCAGCAGTTTGCTTTAATGGTCAACCAGTAAATTAAGAGCCTCGGATGGGCTTCCAACCACTTCATGAACTCACAATAACATGAAAGGACTATACGGGCGTGAGATATAAAGCAGGAAGTGGCTGGATGTGTGCGTTTTATGTGTGCGTCCTCCTGGGTTAACCATTGCCAGGTCCAGAGCTGACCAGTCCCTCTAGAGAAAAGCAGGACTTCTTTGACCTCTGTCCAGCTCTCTGACCAGCTCTCTGCCCTGTGTGTGGGCTGGAGACTTTTCTGAGTAGAAAACCTGTTTCTAGCTCATTAAAAAAGCCTTTTATAATAGTTTTTTTTTTTAATTAACCTGAAAGAAGTGGAGGTCAGAAGTGTCCACTTTCCGAAAACCAACAGCTGCAGAGTCCCTCTCTTTGCAGACTTTGCAGCTTCCAAACCATCCCTAGATTCTGTAAGCCCCCTGAGAATTACTAGAAGTAAAATAAAGCTGATTAAAGCCCAACTTGACTAAAAAAAGTCAGATAAGAGTCCGTGGCTCCAGGCTGATGGGGGATGGGGGAAATCACAGATCTCCATACAGAAAATAAGATTTAAAGAACTTTTTTAAACTAAAAATAAAGCTACTGTGTGGATTTTTCTCCCACCTGGATGGTCTGGCTGGGGTCCCCGGACACGGGCCCCCCCACCAGCTTGCAGTAGAGGTCGCGCACGCTCCTGCCGGCCTCGTCCTCCCCGCAGGTCGCGGTGGCGGCGATCTTGGTGCCCTCCGCCAGGTTGAAGTAGGGCGGGTGCAGGCTGTAGCCGTTCAGCCCGGGGCTCGGCAGCTCCTGGGCCCGCGCGGGGCCGGGACCGGTCGCGAGGAGCAGCCCCAGGAGCCCCAGGAGCCACCCCGGGAGCCCCAGGGGCCCCCGGGGCCCCCCCGGGATCCGCGCGTCACGGAGAGCCGCTCCGCGCGCCATCATCACCTGTCCGCCGGGTAGAGGGGAGGATGGGGGGGTTGTTGGGGGGGGAAGGGGGGTGTTGAACCGGGTCTCTGGAAGTCCGCCGCCGTTAGAGGGGAGTTTTAGGCCGGAATTGGAGGACGGAGAGGCGGAGGAGGAAAAACGCGCAGCGCGGCGGAGTCCTGGAAAGCAGAGCCCGTGTCGCTCCACCAGGCACCTCGTCCCTCTGAGAGCTGCCCTCCCCTCCCTCCCTCCCTCTCTCCTCCCTCCTCCCCCCCTCCCTCCCCTGCCCCTGCCCCCACCAGCCTGTCCCCAGTGGATGAAGCGCAGAACTTCCTCCGTGTTGGAGGGAAGAGTTCGTTTTTCGTGACGAGTGCGCAAGAAACAAATGGTTGAAAAGTTCAGATACGTGCTTTTGGGATTTTTAGATGCAATTTACTCTCCTTTCCTGCTCCCTACTTTCCTTTCCTTCCTCCTCCTCTCCTTTGCCGCTTCCTTCTATCCTTTCCTGCTTCCTCCTCTCCTT